GAGGTCGGAAGTTCAAGACCAGCCTGACCAACATGGAGAAACCACATCTCTACTAAAAATACAAAATTATCCGGGCATGGTGGCACATGCCTGTAATCCCAACTACTTAGGAGGCTGAGGCAGGAGAATTGCTTGAACTCGGAAGGCGGAGGTTGCAGTGAGCTCAGATCGCGCCATTGCACTCCAACCTGGGCAACAACGGCGAAACTCCATCTCAAAAAAAAAAAAATTACAAAAAATACAAAAAATTAGCTGGGCGTGGTGGCACATGCCTGTAGTCCCAGCTACTCAGAAGGCTGAGGCACAAGAACCGTTTGAACCTGGGAGACAGAGGTTGCAATGAGCCGAGATTGCGCCACTGCACTCCACCCTTCGAGATAGTGAGACTCCATCTCAAAAAAATAATAAATAAGGTAAAAAGCTAAAACTTCTATCTAAACCCTGTCAAGGCTGTCCTTATACCATGGACTTTAGGAAAATCAAGACTGAGCCTTTCTGGAGAAATCACGTTCATTTCCTTGGGCAGTCAGGAAAACAAAATGATTTGATTAAAAGTACGATGCTTGTAAAATGTGTAAACTATTGTAATTCTTTATTTAAAAATATTCAAAACCAGTTTCACATTCAGTAAAGATGGAAATTTGTTTAACTTATGCAAACCTCACTACATGCATAGCGAAAAAGATTTTGAAAACAGAAAAAAAATCTGTTTAAATGTTTTCATGTTGTTACACAATTATATTTAAGGTTTAGGTCTTTTTTTAAAAGCATGCTGCACACGAACAATGCTAGCAGAAAAAAGGAATAAAAGTGAGTTTTAGAAGGTATTTAAGATGCAATTCAAGATTTTGTGCTTTTCTTAGAACTGTTTTCTGTTGCAATAATTGTGCCATTTTGGAAGCTGAATCATGGTTTATCATTTACAGGTTATGTATTAGTTCGATAATGGTCGTAAAAAAATTTTTTTAATGTAAAGCCCTTAAGAGACACTTTCTTTGCTTAACTAGATGCACCTTGGTGTGGAGTCAAAAGTACACATGCTGGATCAAAATACATAAAAACTGCATTTCCTACCAAAAAGAAGTGGGAAAGTGGGCACTGCTTAAAAGACAGAAATGAACCCTGCCATATAATGTGAGTATTTTGCTTTCACGGTCTTCAAAATCATTAGTCAACCACCAGATGCCACTTACAAAATGAACGCAAGGGACAGAATTAAAATTTTGCAAAATCCAAGTGAAGTTCAGGTTCAAGGCCACCATATTAATGCAGTGATTTGGAGGAATTTGTATACCTAGTTTAAGTCCCATTCTCACTGCAACTTCCTGCTACTCTTTGGTTAACAAGAAAGCCTTAGCAGAATATTTTGGATTTAAATGATTTGACAGCCGCTATAAATCTAAGAAATAACACATTTCTTTAAGCCTCAGAACAAAAGGATAAGTGATCTTAAGGACGAACCCCTTTTTCCAAATCAAAGGGGGTAGACGCCCTTTTTCCAATCAAAGGGGGTGGGACCTTAGCACATTTTATTTCCTAAAAAAGCAGCAGATCAGAATCATCTTTTAAATTGTGATGTATAGCACAGGTGAAAAGAGGGACTATTATCCATCTGTCAAAGAGCTGTAAAGGTAACCAACAGGAAAAGGTGGTTATATCATTTTAATGGGTACTTAATCCAATTTATTTTGTTTGCACAGATAATCTAGATTATATCAGTCTTACATAATTTATCAGTTCAGACAATTGGGCATACTTGTAACACATTCACAAAAACTAATTGGTACTGTGTCTTCATGCGGGGTAAAAAAGAAAACAGATTGTTGCTTTTAAGACTATTCACTGCATATGCACCATCTTTTGTTTTCAGTAGTTTTTAACAGGAAAATAGTATTAGAAGATAAGCCAGATCTAATATCCGGCAGGCAGAACAGTGAAGAATTACTCTATAAAAATATGTTTGAAAGGTTCTTTTCCTTTATTAACATGCTTCAGCTGACAAAGTCTTGAAAACTGAAGCAGCCAGGCAGGGTGGCCTACGCCTGTATCCCAGCTACTTGGGAAGACTGCTTGAGCTCAGGAGTTCAAGATCAGCTCAGGCAACATAGGGAGACCCCTGTCTCTAAAGAAGTAACAAAAATTTTAAAAAATAAAGAAATGTAAGTACTTGCAAATTCAGTGATGAAACAGTATTTCTAAATAATTTTTTTTTTTGTGGGGGGACCATCTCGCTCTGTTGCCCAGGCTGGAGTGCAGTGGAGTGATCTTGGCTCACTGCAACCTCCGCCTCCCGGGTTCAAGCAATTCTCCTGCCTCAACCTCCCAAGTAGCTGGAACTATAGGCACGTGCCACAACACCCAGTTAATTTTTGTATTTTTAGTAGAGACGGGGTTTTGCCATGTTGGCCAGGCTGGTCTCAAACTCCTGACCTCAGCCTCTCAAAGTGCTAGGATTATAGGCATGAGCCACCACACCCAGCCAATTTTTGGGGGATCTAAGAGGACACTAGAGAAAAGAAACTGTTATTTTGCCAGCAGCCAGCTTACAGGAAGTAGTTGCCAACAGTGTATCCAAGTCAGTTTTTTATATTTCTTTAATCTTATATAAGATTATAGCTGTTGACTTTAGCTATACATTTGCAAGACAAAATTTCAAGGTGTTTTTAAATGTAGACTGTTTAAGAACTATGAAGGCTGGCCGGGCATGGTGGCTTACATCTGTAATCCCAGCACTTTGGGAGGCTGAGGCAGGCAGATCACCTGAGGTCAGGAGCTTGAGACCAGCCTGGCCAAGATGGTGAAATACCATCTCTACTAAAAATACAAAATTAGCCAGGCCTGGTGGCAGATGCCTGTAATGCCAGCTACTCGGGAGGCTGAGGAAGGAGAATCACTTGAACCCAGGAGGCGGAGGTTGCAGTAAGCAGAGACTGCGCCATTGCACTCCAGCCTGGGTGACAAGAGCGAAACTCCGTCTCAAAAAAAAAAAAAACTGTGAAGGCTTCATGAATACCTGCTCTTCAGTTAGCTGCAGAGCTTAGGAAAATTTAGCATCTGCAAGCTGAAAGGATTTAAACCACATTTCAAAAATACACAATCATCTGATCTACTGCTAATTATGAGTTGGCAAGTTAATTCCTACTTGCAAAGTCATATTATCAACCTCCATTCTGTTAACAATTTTACATTCTAATTATGTTTATAGAAGTCTTTTAGATATAAGTTGTTTGCAACAGATATTTTGGAGCCCCTGCCATATGTCAGGAAAGGTACAAGTTACTAAGGCTACACAGAAGAACCAAGACAGTCCCTGTCTTTATCCATCCACCTGTGCCTGGCACTTTAGATAAGGCATTCAGTGAGTCAGGCGAGGACCCCTGCCCTCCTGGAGCAAATAAGCAGACAGAGTCCAAGATAGTAGTGCTGTTATACAAATAGGAATATATGACCAAGACCATAGGGCACACCAACTGTCTGCTTTGAGGGGAAACAGGAGAGAGCTACACCAAGATGACATTTCAGTTGTTTACTAGGCGTGACTGGGAGTCAGGTCAGAGAAAGACAAACACCTGGAGCAAAGGCAGACTGCAGAAGGGCCTGGCTAATCCAGAGGAACAAGTGTGGCAGAAAGTGGGATGCACAGGGTAAGTGGAGGAAGTCAAGTCTGGGAAGGTAGAGTGAGCCCAGATTGTGAGGCCTCTTATATGCCAGCATTTTGCTTAGATTTTATCACTACCCAAAGGATTTTAAGCAGGACAGTGGCAATTATTTTTTTTTTTTGAAGCTATAACTGGTATCAGTATGGGGAGGGGCTGGAAAGGAAATAGTGGCAGGAATCATACAGATCTTGTAAGACTTTAAAAACCTTTGCCTGGCTGGGCGCAGTGGCTCACGCCTGTAATCCTACCACTTTGGGAGGCGAGGCAGGCAGATCACTTGAGGTCAGGAGTTCAAAACCAGCCTGGCCAATGTGGAGAAGCCCTGTCTCTACTAAAAATACAAAAAAATAGCTGGGCATGGTGGTGGGCGCCTGTTATCCCAGGTACTCGGGAGGCTGAGGCAGGAGAATCACTTGAACCTGAGAGGCAGAGGTTATAGTGAGCCAAGATCACACCACTGCACTCCAGCTTGGGCCACAGTGTGAGACTCTGTCTCAAAAAAAAAAAAAAAAAAAAGCAAAACCTGTGCCTACTGTAAAAGTGCCACACTAAACAAAAGCCACTAAATTCTCAGGGATATTAAACAACTTTATATTCATTTTGGAGTAACTGCAGCTTTGACCACTGAAGATGTATGGAAACAGCATGGCTTGGCTACAGAAGGGTTATTCAAAGATTTCCATAAACTGCATTATCAAATAGTAAAATAGGATGTCCTAAGCTCCAATAGATTTCCTTTTTTTGGTGGAGGGGGGACAGTCTCTCGCTCTGTTGCCCAGGCTGGAGTGCAGTGGCACAATCTCAGCTCACTGCAACCTCCACCTCCCAGGTTCAAGCAATTCTCCTGCCGCAGCCTCCCGAGTAGGTGGGACTATAGGCCTCCACCACCACGCCTGGCTAATTTTTTGTGTTTTAGTAGAAGTAGGGTTTCACTGTGTTGCCCAGGCTGATGTCAAACTCTTGAGCTCAATCTGCCCGCCTTGGCCTCCCAAAGTGCTATGATTACAGGCATGAGCCACCACACCCAGCCCAATAGATTTCTTATAAATTAATTTCAATAAAATTGCTATGCAATATAATCTTAACAAAGCTGCTGTGACCTTCAAAACTGTGTCATCAGCAGCACTAATCAAGAGTTCCAATTCTGAGTGCATACAGAGGGACATTTGGTAGTTTCTGAAGAAACATGGATTTTCACTGTCTTAATTTAAATGTTAATAGATTTGCTCTCAGCATATCTTGACTGTCAGATAAAAATTCAGCATGATGTTTGCTTTGTATAAACATCAAGCAAGGCTTTTGAAAGTCACTATTACAAAACAATTTTTTAAATTCCTATTAATCTTAGATCTCCATCCTTAATTCCTTTAGGTGTTAACATTTAAGATACCCACTAAGGGAACAAAAAGCTTGGGCAAAGAATATTTAAATGTTCAATTTTGACTTTGGAACTTTCCAGTTCAGTATTTAAAATGTTATATATAATATTGCTAGGAGACACTATGGATCGTTCTTATTGTAAGCACAGAAACTGAAAAGATGCGGCCAGGCGCCCTGGCTCACGCCTGTAATCCCAGCACTTTGGGAGGCTCAGGCGGGTGGATCACGAGGTCAGTTCAAGACCAGCCCAGCCAACATGGTGAATGAAACCCTATCTCTACTAAAAATACAGAAATTAGCTGGGTTTGATCGCAGGCGCCTGTAATCCCATCTACTCAGGAGGCTGAGGCAGGAGAATCACTGTAACCCGGGCGGCAGAGGTTACAGTGAGCTGAGATCGCACCACTGCACTCCAGCCTGAGTGACAGAGTAAGACTCCATCTCAAAAAAGAAAAAGAAAAAGGAAGAAAAGGAAGGAAGGGGGAGGGAAGGGAAGGGAAGAGAGAGAGAGAAATAAAAAAAAGAGAAAGAAAGAAACTGAAGGAGGGACACCTGGACTTCTCTCTCTCCCTGGGGTAGAAGCACAGAAAGCCCTCCCCCTCAATAACCACACATTTTTCCAAGTAAATATTGCTTTTGCAGCAACCTAATACCTTCATTTGCTGTCTCTCAAGGACTGGTTCTGTAGCAGTGGCTTTCCAACTGTGGCCGCTGTCCCCCAGTACAAATTACATTGTGACTTAGGATGAACATACATAATAAAATGAAACAAAAAATGGAACAGTACTTACCCTTACTAAGTACAATGTACTTGTCAATGTTTGAAATGCTCATCATGACCCACTAATGAACATGCTCTGACTCACAATTGAAAAGGACTCTTCATTTCCACTCAGTTAATGCCAGAAGTGGTGTACATAATACAGATGTCTGCTTTAATAATTTACTTGAACCTGGTTCTTAGCTCTAGTTATATGCAAGACAGTCCATAAATCTGTTTGTAGTTACTGGCAGTAAGTTTTTCTGTTGATGCTGCTGAAAAACTTAACTGTTAAGCTTTATTCTATTAAAGTTGCTCTAATATTTTCCCTTTGTGTGGAAAATTATTATATAGCTTTAAAACAGAATATATACTTGGAGATTTAACCATTTTTGTTTTTGTTTTGTTTTAGTCAAATATTGGAGATAATGTCAGCAGTGAGAGATGAGGATCCACTGGAATTAGCCAATACCCTATATAACAATACTATTAAAGTATTTTTTCCTGGAATATAATTGGTATATGTCTTCCACTTTCCATCATGTATGTAAAATTTCATAGTAAAACTTACTGATAGTTTCAATAAAGAAATTATCTGCAAGTTGTCTAAAGAAATACTATATATTGGTACACAGCATTCTCCACCATTCCCCTTCTTTTTCTCATAAAATCAGATCAGGATGTTTTTATATCATTGAGTACCTTAGTTTAAAACAATAATAATAACAATAAACAATTTTTGTTCTGTAATATCTCCAAAAGAATGAAAGGACAATTTTATGACAATACTGCAGACACAGAATGGCTAACAAATATACCAATTTTACATAAAAAACATTTAGCACATTCTGGTTTATATCAAAGTTTAGTTGATACAGTTTATTTCCCAACCCTCGGTCTCTGAATCATGACTTTCAAACTCAGCTCAATTACACTGCTACTCAAGTTTCAAAAAAGTTCCTCAGTTGCTTCTGGCAGGCTAATTTTTTCTTTAGTTTTAAAATACTCTCTCATGTCCCTTATCCTCTGGTCAAATTATTTTATTTCCTTAACTTTAATGTGGTTTCCTGATTTGCATTTTCATTCTCCCACCCATTCTGAAGAAAAACTGAGGTCCAAAGTTAGATACGTTACATGATTTCATTGAAGAATCTTTGGCACAGTTGACGCACCATATGATCATTACAGCTATTAAAAAGCTATTTGTTCAAATTTTGTCATAAAAATGTGAAAACATTTTATTCTATGTACAATAATGTACACAAATTTAAACAGGTCACCAAAGAGACCAGAAGTAATTAAAGAGGTATATTTACAGTAGCACATCACAGTAAACGGAAAACCATTCACAGATTCAACATTGATACTGTTTTTGTGCTTGGTTACACACTGAAGGTGAAGGATATCACTCCATTTTGGATGAACTGAATTTTAAACAAATACCTCAATGATTAATAAATGCTATTTTCATCAGTCAGTATCATCATTAAATTCTTCAGCTGCTGCGCCTGTGTGCTGAATCACTCCATTTCTTTCTCTTTGAACATCATCATCACAATCTGTACTGTCATCTTCGTTCAATTCTCTGTCAGATTCAGCAGCAGCTTCTCTTACAGCTTCCTCTGGATTTTCATTGGGTGGAATAAATCCATTGTTGTTAGATACATTTGAATTATCCTTGGTATCATCTTCGATGTATACTTTCTGATGGCACATTGGACAAGTATCTTGAATGTACAACCATTTCCGAAGGCAAAGTGCATGGAAATAATGATTACATGGTGTAATACGAGCAGATGTTGTAAACTCATGATAGCAGATTGCACATACATCATTTATTTCTTGTAAGCGGCTCCCTTTTATTTCAGGAAGTGAATTAATTTTCTTCACAGCAGTCCTACGATTCATGAATGTCTTCCAGCCATTTTTGGCTTGTAAGTAGATGTTAAAATATGCATGTAGGCACATCATAAAAGCCCGAATTTTACTTCCTGACTCAAACATCATAGTGTAAGCCCCATTTCCAAACATTACAACTCCAAATATAAATTCAATAATACTGCCTGTTGAACGAACGTAGTAGACATAATCGTCAAGCTTTTCCCAGAGGACATTATAGTAGCCATCAATCATGAATAACGTATAAACAGTGAGAGAAACAATTACTTTTAAGCACAGTTCCACACAAAATGCTGTAACTGCAAACAACCATGTATTTAGTGCATAGTGATGCCAAAGAACATAACTGAGTAAGACAGGAAGAATAAACAGGCAAGCAGAGACAAACAGCACAGGAAAATGTCTACGAAAAGATGACACATGAGAGGCACTGAGAGACATTAATACAGGGTCTGTCATTCCATGGATGAAATGCAGGACTGCAGTTAATAAAAGGCACATGTTTCTACTTAAGCGAATAAGTCTCTCTTCTGGTCTCAGCCCACTTAACCCAGTCTGAAGAGCCAAAATAAAAAATAAAACAGGTGCAACAAAGCCAAGCCGCCTGTCATCTTCCTCAGTTGATCCAATAAAGGCCAATATTCCAAGCCCCAAGTAATGGGCTATTGAGGAAATTACAGCACTCATGCCCAGTACAGTTAGTGTAGAATCACATCCACTAATTATAAGATTGCAAATGAGGTCCCAAAAATCATCCCAAGAAATAAAGAAGGAATCAGTTTCATTTGCCATCCTTAAGATGTACATTAACACTGTAGCCTGAGCTGTAACTCTTGTTAGCCAAAAGACTCGCAGTATGTCTGGGAAACGAATCCTCTTCCATGTGTCCTCCATCAACAACTGTAATCCATAAATTCGATACATGTGCCTCACTAAAAGATAAACATATCGTGTGGAATAATAAAACCACTTCAGTTTCACTGCCAAGACAAGCACTGTATTTAATGTGAGAATCAAGGAAGAAGTAAACACTAAAGTCTCTCTGATGTGTAATGGTAGCTCTGTGATTAAGCCTATTACAGGAACCAAGAGATCCAAAATAATTAATTGTGAATAGATGGAATGAATCTGGAGTAGTGTAACGTATCCAATTCCAAATGTTAGCTGTAGAACGATAAGTGCCATCCACAGCGAGGGACCTTTTCGAGGAAGCAGCTCAATTCCAAAAGCTGATGTGTTGTAGGCACCATAGAAGTCAATGTGCAAAGAAGCATAATAATTCACCAACACTGAAGTTGCAGCTAATAGAAAGGCTGAGCTGTACATGTAAAACTTGAAAAGTGATCGTTGTGACAAGATCAGAACAATACTGGATACAAATATACCTGAAAGAAAGAAAGAAAGAAAAAGTCATTTGAATGAAGTCTTTGTAAGAATGTTTCCCCACTAATAGTTATGATATTCTTTAATTAGGAAATATGAGTATTTTCAGTTATGAACATTAAGCCTCAAGACGATTTAGGCGTAAAGGGCAATAAAGGTTTTGTAAAGTCAGAGTTCAGGAGGACAGACCAAACATAATAAATTATTCTTTAAAGTTTCATTCCTTACTTTCTAATTTCCAAAGTATTTCAAGTAACACTGTATATGTCCAAGGCACCAAATTACTAAATTATCTCCTCAAGATGAATGTGTAGTGGTACATACATTTTAACAAGTTTTAAAACTCGAATATGTCCTTTATCATTTCATAATCATTAAAATTAAGATAATTTTAAAAATTGGGTTAAAAATAACCCAAATGGAAAACATTTGGTCCTATTAAGTTTTAGATTCATTTATTATTGATTGATTGAGACGGAGTCTCACTCCATTGCCCAGGCTGGAGTGCGCTGGCGATGCAATCTCAGCTCACTGCAACCTCTGCCTCCCAGACTCAAGCAATTCTCCTGCCTCAGCCTCCTGTAATCAGCTGGGATTACAGGCACCTGCCACCACGCCCAGCTAATTTTTGTATTTTTAGTAGAGACGGGGTTTCACCATGTTGGCCAGACTGGTCTCTAACTCCTGACCTCAAGTGATTCGACCGCCTTGCCTCCCAAAGTGCTGGGATTACAGGCGTGAGCCACCGCGCCCAGCCAAGTTTTAGATTTTTTTTTTAAAGCATTCTTTAGGAAATCAAGTTCAAGTTTTATACTTCCACCTAATTCCTCCTTTTCTTCAAACTGTGAACTCATGGCAGCTCTTATTTCCTACTCCTTAACTCTGAGCATTCTCCAAAGGATCCAAAATTCAGTTTTTCTTTTCTCCTACATAGTTTCCTTCAGACTTAGAAACATCCTCCAAGTTCCCTTTTTCCTGTACAATGCTGAATCTGTTTCTTAAAATAGTCATCTCTTTTTATTGTTCTTCCCATTACAAAAGTAACACTCAGAAAACCAAGACATGTTTTTAGAAAATGATAATTCTCCTTCCCCCACTCCACAGACACCATCTTTCTTTGTACTCTGACAGAAATGCACATTTTAAGTAGGATTACAATAAACACATTATTATCCAAGGTTTCAACAATGGGAATGTCATCTGAATACTCACCTACTTTCACTCCTACATTACAACTGCAAATTTCCAAAGTTCTGAAACTCAACTTGCCTTAACCTAGAATCAGCTTTTCCTTGTGATTTGCTATTTCAGTTGAAGGTACCATTATTGTTCTCTTAGAGATACTCCCAACCCAGCCCCACATGCTCAAACTTTGCCAATTAGTTGCCAAATTCTTCTAACATCTCTATCCCCCTTTTCTGTGACACCAATCAGTCTGTCTCAAAAAAACCTTCATCTTGTCCAAATCCATCTACAAGCCATCACCAAATTGCCTTTCTTCATTCCTCTGCTCAAAATACTTCAGCGGCTCTGAAATTACTATTAACTAAAATCTACATTCTTGCTCCTGGCACTCAAGGATCCAATTTGCTTTACAGTAATATTCCTCCTAACACACACACACAGACTTGGGTTCCCCAAACACATTCTTTTCTCCACTATAGCTACAGCAGTGTTTACATTCCCTTTGCTTGGAATGATGTCCCCACCAACTTCCCAATCCCTGACTGTTCAAATCCTACTTATCCTAGCATCCTACTTTCTTTGATAGAAACTGTTCTTTCAGCATACCTGCAGAACTCAGTGAAACACTTAACACTCATACCACCTGATACTGTAGTCTGCAGTTATCTAAGCATAATCTACCCTATTATACATGTATCTGTAACAGAAAGCAAGGATCCTACCCTGTCCATCTATGGATCCTACAATATTTTGTACAAAGTGAGTACAATAGTATTCACTGTACTTATTGGGACATTGGGAATGACAGTGGGAATGTCTGTCACTTCTGGATGTTTTTAAAGGCAATGACAAAATACAGCCTGCTTGAAAAATAAAATCTGTGAAAAAGACAATGAGAAACCACACCCTGGAGTACAGAAAAAGTGACAAACTCCAAGTTAAAAATCCATCTTGGCCAGGTGCGGTGGCTCACACCAGTAATCCCAGCACTTTGGAGGCTGAGGCGGGTGGATCACTTGAGGCCAGAAGTTCGAGACCATGTCAACATGGTGAAACCTTGTCTTTACCAAAAATATAAAAATTTGCCAGGCGTGGTGGCACATGCCTGTACTCCCGGCTACTCAGGGGCTTGAGGTGGGAGAATCGCTTGAACCCAGGAGGCAGAAGTTGCAGAGAGCTGAGATCACGCCACTGCACACCAGCCTTGGTGACAGAGGGAGACCCTGTCTCAAATAAATACATAAATATTAAATAAAATAAAAATCCATCTATCCACCTTATTTCAGCAGATAATTAAGACACTGCATATTATTACAGTGGACGCATTTCACAATCCATTGCACATATAGGCAAGGGCTAGTTCCTTTAAATGATGACTCTGTCCACGGATTTAAAATGTATTCTGTGCCAAAGTGTCAAGTCATTTGTGAAAAGGAAAACAAAAGGACACAATAAAGTAGAAGACATATAAACCTCTAAATACAAACCACCTGATTCCCCAAGCAAATGGGCCACTAATAATCTCCCAAAGAGTTGTGAGTGCAGAACAGGCTCTTTTAACAGGAAATAGGTATTTTTTTTAAAAAATGGAGTTTTACTCTTGTTGCCCAGGCTGGAGTGCAATGGCGTGATCTCGGCTCACTGCAACCTCTGCCTCCCAGGTTCAAGCGATTCTCCTGCCTTAGCCTCCCAAGTAGCTGGGATTACAGGCATGTACCACTATGCCCGGCTAATTCTGCATTTTCAGTAGAGACAGGGTTTTTCCACGTTGGTCAGGTTGGTCTCGAACTCCTGACCTCAGGTGATCCGCCCGCCTCGGCCTCCCATAGTGCTGGGATTATAGGCGTGAACCACTATGCCCTGCCCAGAAAACATTTTTTTTATTGGAAACTTCTTCCATGGAAGGTAACAAGGAAATGGAATTAATTCAGCCTACCAGATGCCATATGTAATTTTACATTCTCTACATGGAAAACAACCTTATTTTCCTGGGACAAAACTTCAGAACTTTAAAACAAATCTTCTAAGTTGGGTCAAAACCAAAACAAAAAAACTCTAGTTCTACTTTATGCCACTTAGAGGAGAGAAAGTCAAGCAGGAACCGTAAATTATTTTTGTCAACTTGCTATTCACAAAGTAGTAAAGTAATCTTCAGTAACTATTCATGAGCTTTGCTACAATTTTATAACTATTTTTAAAAATTCTAATAACTTTTTTCCTGAAGCTTGTTTTTACCACACACAAATGAAGAAATGATTTGGGTTTTAGAAACATTTCTAGTGAAAAAGTGCCATTGTGCTTTATGCAAATGTATCAAAGAAAAAAGGGGAAGGCATCAAATAGACAAATAATGTAGTAAGACTACAACCTCAAGATTTGGATGTGTCCCAGCAAGTAACAATCTGACAATACTCTATCCTGATTAAAATCACACCCCCCAAGATGTAACAGTGAGTTAACATTTCAAGAATAGTACATGTTTTAATTCCTACCCAAAGTTTGTAGGTATATGGGGTTCACAGATTTTCCTTATAGTCACGTTCCTACTTATGGAGTTTGGGAAGAATCTGCTCTCATTTTAAAAGCAAACATCCCAAGTAATAAGTCTCCAAAGCAATCATCTTTCTCATGGCCTTTGCAGAATAATATCAAAGTTTCAGTGCATTCTTACATTAGATATGAAATGCTTTCTTGGTATTTACACTGTAGATCTAAGAAAATATAAAAGTCCAGAGACAGTTTCTCATTAGAATTTGGAAGTGACTTGCACAAGTAATCAAGGCTGTATATAAATGCTGCTTCATAAAAAATTAAAAGAGAACAGAATTTACTGAAATCACAACTCAGAGATCCCAGTCCAATTCTCCTGTGATTAAGAGAGTTCACTAGAGTTTTCAAGGTAGTCAAAAAGAGGGAGGTATCCAAATCAATTCAGGAACTTTGAAACTATATACGAACTCAACTCATGAAAGTTCAGGCCTTCTCAATCTGGATTACCAAAAACAGGCAAATAAAAACAAAGGAAAAAATAAAAAAAACTTACTATACATGTTACATAACAAAGTGTTTCACTCTTTCATGTGTAAAGTCTGTTCATACCCTTACCCTCTTCTGGAAACTTATGACTAAAAATCAGGGTACAAAACATAATATTTACAATTCTCCAAGTACCCGAAATACCTTTAAAACAAAAAGCAACTTGTTGAAAAACATTTCAATACCTGACAGAATAATATGGAAAAGCACAGAAATAAATGTTACTACTACCTTACTCCCAAGGGAGCCTTCTGCAATGAAGTTTACAACAAAGTGTCTGGAAATGTTGTTAATCTGTTGGCATACTTGATAAATTATAAAGAAAAAATTTCTATTGGATTCTTATTTTAGGTTAAAAAAATGGTATTCCAAGTATTAATAACACAAAATTAAACTTTTGCTTTTAACCTGAAATTATAACAAGTATGCTTTTATCAAAAATATATGAACATGGATTTTAAAAAGCCAAACCCTACAGAGAGGTGTTAAATGAAGAGTTAAAGCAAGTTTTTCTAGTTTGTCTTTCCCATCTGTGATATCATAAAAAAAAATTAATATTTGGTCTTTATCCCATTTTCTGACATAGCTTCTAAAATCCTTGGAATCTCTGGAGTGATGACTGTTTTGTACAATAATCAGATGACTGGTGCCTGGGGGCCCCTAGATAGCTTCAGGATGGGGGTTAGGTAGTCAGGAGAATCAACCCAGTGATTAAGGGTTATACCTTTGATTCCTACCCCCAGCCCCCACTTTTGGGGAGGGGGAAGAAGCTGAAGCTTGA